AAAAGAGAGACTGACCTGAGTTTGTGTCAGCCCAAGGCTGGCAGCCAGTTCAGCCCTTTCGGGCAGGGCGAGGTACTGAGTGCGCTGAAACCGTCGGTTCAGCTGTTGCAGCTGCAAACTCGAGTAAATCGTTCGCGGTTTTCGCATCTTCTTCCCTTTTCCGTTCACTTGCCGCAACGTCGGCTCCGAAGAGTCCTTGCCTGTGACGATAAAAAATAAAATAAAATTGAATAAAACAACAAAATCAACAAATCCTGATTTAAAAAAATATAATAATAAGTATACAGTACAGCCAAAAGCACGACAAGAAATTGAGAAGGAAATTCTATTTGTTCTCTATATGGATAGTCAATAAGATTCCACGAAAAAAATAAATAGTGCAACAAAGCATGCAGCCAAGCATTTTGAAATGATGACGAAAAAACAGCAACTATGAATCACGAAGTTTAAGTGGGGCTTTCGCAGACCCGCGAAATAATTTTTAATGGACGAACTCTTCAATAGAATTGTACAAAAAATGTCCTCAAGTTCCTTTTTATGAAGAGAAACCTCAATCGAACACTTCGAAAAACATTCAAAAAATTGAAGACGCAGCAAATAAGCGGCAGGATATTTTTCCTGCGAATCGAATAAATTCCTAAAGTCGTTTTCTAATAACAAACACGTCTCTCAGAGGCGTTCTTTTTGTAATTAACGCACAATTTTCGTTTCAGATATATTTTTGAAACTTTGTTTAAAGCCAGGAAAGCTTAATAAGCTGCTTATTAGCTCCAACTTGAAATAATTTTTGCCTCAATATACGACTGCAACTCGCTTAATATTAGGTCGTGATGGGCAAAATTAAAGGACACATCACTGAAAGCTTCAAAGACACAAATCACAAAATTAAACTCTAAAAGCATAACAGGTACAATAGACTAAAAAAGTTCAGTTATGTAAAGTTATTCTTGATCTTTCTATACGTGGTTTTTATCGACATAATCAAAATCCAAGTTTATTTGTGCACTGGAAATGCGATGGTATAGCTTTTCTTTTCAGCTAACTTTTTCCAATATTTGTTACGAAATACCGTTGGAAATATCATCTACTGTATTTACGAACACTTCGTTGAAAGAATCTAGATTCTTTAACAAAATTTCAGGGAACAAGAAAATGTCTTCACAAAAAGCCTTGATATTATTTTGAAAACAGAAAAATGATCGAATGACCGTTCCTATAATCGTGCCAATACTTCGCGAATCTCTCGGCGATCTCGAAACTTATACTGCAAAAAACAAAGAAAAAATTTGGCTATAAAAAAAGAGCCAATAACAAGGACACCGAAACACATTCGAACACCAAGACAAAACTCGTGCGAAGCATCAACAAACAAGTGTATAGTGCCAAATGAAGGGATAACAAGCGTGAACCAGCCGCGGCTAATGACCAAGCGCATTCTACCGTATTTTTCATTCCTCCCGTTTCCTCTCTTATTTTTTATTATTATTATTTATCATTACTTGTTGTAGTGGTTGTTGAAATTTCTACGTATGCTCAGTCGAGTTTATATTCCTTTCGCTTCCAAAGTGGATTTAGGCGAGGAGAGCCAGAATAAAAATACAAAAAAATGAGAGAAAAGAGAGCAAAAGAACAGGCCGAAAACCCCCCCGGGGTGGGAGATTGATAGCCGAGCATAATGCGGAAGTCACAGGTGTAACAAGGCGAGGACTGGTAACGGATGCGCTGTTGATTTTTGTCATGTCCGGAACGAATGCCGCACATTCGAGCGTGAGTCCCAAGTCCGACGATTTTCGCCACGGGACAAGAATTAGATTAATTATCCCTATATGTATGTATGCCCCCCCCCCTAAAAAAAAAGAAATCAACAGAGAGTGGAAAATAAAAGTAGTAAACTAATTGTAATCCCCCACACGCTGTGTATATATAGTCAGTCACACAAAAGCACTTCAAAGTTTAGAATAAGAAGAAGAAAAATCCTCGTTATATGACGTCAAAAGGGGGACTCGCAATTTTTAAACTTTTTTTTTTTTGCGTGTGTGTGTTTCTTTCACAGCGTGAAGTATATGGACACTTGTGCTTTTGTGTGTGTGTGTGTGTGTGTGATAGGGGGAATGTCGCTTCCAGTCACAGCAGGGCTCTGTGACCTGTGTGAGCTTTGCTCTGTGTCAAGAAGAGGAAAACTATGGACTGTGATACCATGCACATTTCAAGCCTACGTACTTGCTTCATTTGACAAAGAATATTATATTTCAAAATACATTGATGCCGTGATTTCCGTTGATGAGAGAAATCCGAAAAATCAGCAGGTTTATTGGCAAAAATGTCCTCAAATAACTATAGGAGCCATGTAGCGAACAAAATAAAATACTGAGGAATCCAAATTTACTCATCAGTCAACACAGAGATTCCATCGAAATATTGTACATGATCTCCCTTGGCTTAGACTATGAACCTGCTTGTCAAAAAATCAAGTTTTTAGCTTCAACCCAGAATACATTTTAAAGGAAACTGCGCATAAAGCAGAATAACGATTAGCGTATGTTATTCGAAGACTAGGAAATACGCACGGAAAAATGGACAAATTTGTGTTTAATAGTCATTGAACGGTTAAATTCGTTATCCTAAGTTTTCCTGCAAAAGTAAATAAAAAAGCGAATTTTAGGTTTTTGGCTCTCAATGTGCAAGATCCGCAGAATATTTATTTCCTAATGAGCGTTTAACACGATGAGGAGAAGTAGCCAAGCAAAAACATATAGAACGCAGCAATGCACAAAGAATATTTTCGGTGCAAATAAAAAAAGGAAGTCTATTATATTTAAGAAATAAGAATTGAATTCGGAAATAAATGAACACACGCACATATTTTTGAATCATCGAGATGCACACGACGATAATTTCTTGAACTCTTCAATATTTCAAATTTATCTAATAAAATGTTTTTTTAATGCTTTTTCGCACCAGGATAAAAAATTATTCCCAAGATTTTTGCTATACAATACTGGTGGATTTTTGTTTTCGTAAAAAACATGCTTTTGAAACTATAAATAAATTTTTTCCTTTGTACAGCGACGGAAATAAAAATTGCAGGAACGAAACGAAAGCAGTGCAAATTGTACAAAGCGGACAGAAACTCTGCAAGAATGATTTTCCCAACCAAACGAGTGAAAAAGACGAGATATGGGAACAAAAGTATTTCATGTGCCAAGCAAAAAAGAAAAAAAATGCATGAATAAATCCAATGAACATGTAAAAACGTACTTGAATGAGCCATTGCCGAGTACTTGTCTTGGTCACCCATGAAGAAAAGTCCGACTGCCGATTCGTTTCAGGAAGGAAGACAAAAAAAGAGCAAAACACAGAGGGAAATCAAATACGGCATTATACTTTTCGAAAAACATTCAAGGAAAAGTTTCTTATGTATTCCATCGTCTACAATCTACAATATTTCAAATTACCTACTTTTTTGTGGTGATAGTGGTAAACTTTCCGAAGGGCGAAATATTATTTCGACTTCACACAAAAATCCAAGAACCACTCTTTTCATGCGCTAAAATTAACAAATGGTGAAGTCGACACTCGAAACCCTCATTCGTATGCTTCGAAACCCAACAAAGAATTCTCGCTTGAAGGAAGAAAATAAAATAAAAAATATGTGTCTCTCGGACCTTGTTTTGATCGCAAAAGAATGTCAGAAAAAAAAGGAGAGTCTCAAGTCAAAAGAGACGGAGTTCGTCGTGAGCAGCATAAATTACGCATCCGAAGTCTTCAAGTCCTTTTTTTCTGGTCCTGATTCTCACTCCCCATATACATATATTTTTCTTTGCAAAGAAATTCTTTCTGGTCACTGTCACCCCTTTTTCCGTGCCATGATGAACAATAAGCGACGACACCCATGGGAGGAATCGTGGGACAATGTAGGAAAAATGGGATGCGGGTATTGGTATAGTGTGCATAAATGGGACTTCCTCTTATTTTCCTCTTTCCTGGTGAATTTTCAAGCGCAAAAATTTCAACATTTTTCTGGAAACGACTAGCCAGTGTGATGAAGAGGCTTCTTGTCGGGCGATTGAAAAATACAAGTTAAATTCACAGGCAGCCTTTGAGCAGAAAATAAACCAAAATATTGGTAGAGTATTTTTTTTTTACACGGATAAAATAAGTGGCTGAACCCGAGGATTAGTAAATTAATTTTCGCAGAATGTTTTCTGCAAATCATGCAGACTCGGAAGAAGAATATTTGCTCGTTCAACAAAATACTGCATTGATCTCATTCGGCGGTATATCTCGCATTGATTTCATCAGTTTCACTATTGCTTCGGAGTATTGAAACTGATTAAAATTATATGCCTCATCGGATTCCTTCCACAAGATTGCTTGTAATTCTCATCGTCGTTATACTCTGGAATGTGATTAATAAAAAATATCCCGCACGGAATGTTCTCAACGTGGTAGGACATTTTTTTTTTTGCCAGTTAATCGGCTTTCGCGCGGACTAAAATCAATTGAAGGCGAGCTCATATTTATTGCAGCAATCGATTCAATACCATTTCTTTTGGTATCATTCATGAGTAAAATACTCGGTGTCTTTTCTTTTATTTCGGGGTCAAAGAAGAATACAAAAAATCCCGTGAAGTCGGCACAAGAACAATTTTTTAAAAAAAGGCCTCACGCCGTGGGAAGCGAGAAAAATCAACATTCTCTTTGGGCTCCCACTGTGGCTTCACGTGGCGACAAAGCCGGGTCATTCGATTTCCAAGACTTGAAAAAATGAACTATAAAAAGGTTTAAAAAAAATTTATATATCTCGTAAAGAGTAGAGAGGGGGAGGGGGGAGAAAAGGGTATCGCGGGGGATTTGAAACGAATAAAGGAAGCCCTCGAGGGGTCCAAAAGGCGGAAGATGAAGCAGAGAAGAACACGAAGAATTCGTCACTTCGAAGAGGAGGAATCCACCCTTTTTTTTTTATTCTCTGGTTTACTTTTTTTTTTTAGATTTTTGCGAACCACCAGGTGGACACGCGGGGCTCTTTTTTTTGGCAAGGAAATTTATGCAAAACGTTTCATCGACTCGTGTGTTAGAAGGGGGAGAGAAACTCCTTGACGCATTGTNAGGAATCGTGGGACAATGTAGGAAAAATGGGATGCGGGTATTGGTATAGTGTGCATAAATGGGACTTCCTCTTATTTTCCTCTTTCCTGGTGAATTTTCAAGCGCAAAAATTTCAACATTTTTCTGGGAACCACTATAGCCAGTGTGATGAAGAGGCTTCTTGTCGGGCGATTGAAAAATACAAGTTCAATTCACGGGCAGCCTTGAGCAGAAAATAAACCAAAATATTGGTAGAGTATTTTTTTTTTACACGGATAAAATAAGTGGCTGAACCCCGAGGATTAGTAAATTAATTTTCGCAGAATGTTTTCTGCAAATCATGCAGACTCGGAAGAAGAATATTTGCTCGTTCAACAAAATACTGCGTTGATCTCATTTTGGCGGTATATCTCGCATCGATTTCATCCGTTTCACTATTGCTTCGGAGTATTGAAACTGATTAAAATTATATGCCTCATTGGATTCCTTCCACAAGATTGCTTGGAATTCTCATCGTCTTTATACTCTGGAATGTTATTAATTAAAAAATATCCCGCACGGAATGTTCTCGACGTGGTAGGACTTTTTTTTTGCCAGTTGATCGGCTTTCGCGCGGACTAAAATCAATTGAAGGAGAGCTCGTATTTATTGCAGCAATCGATTCAATACCATTTCTTTTGGTATCATTCATGAGTAAAATACTCGGTGTCTTTTCTTTTATTTCGGGGTCAAAGAAGAATACAAAAAATCCCGTGAAGTCGGCACAAGAACAATTTTAAAAAAAAAGGCCTCACGCCGTGGGAAGCGAGAAAAATCAACATTCTCTTCGGGCTCCCACTGTGGCTTCACGTGGCGACAAAGCCGGGTCATTCGATTTCCAAGACTTGAAAAAATGAACTATAAAAAGGTTAAAAAAAATTATATATCTCGTAAAGAGTAGAGAGGGGGAGGGGGAAGAAAAGGGTATTGCGGGGGATTTGAAACGAATAAAGGAAGCCCTCGAGGGGTCCAAAAGGCGGAAGATGAAGCAGAAGAACACGAAGAATTCGTCACTTCGAAGAAGAGGAATCCACCCTTTTTTTTCATTCTCTGGTTTACTTTTTATATTTTTTTAAAGATTTTTGCGAACCAACAGGTGGACACGCGGGGTTTTTTTTTTTTTTTGGCAAGAAAATTTATGCAAAACGTTTCATCGACTCGTGTGTTAGAAGGGGGAAAGAAACTCCTTGACGCATTGTCACCCCAGCAAAAGAGGGCTCAACGACTTTTCCGGAATATTCGCCTTTTTTGCAGTTCCCTTTTTTATTTTAAACGTTTTTTTTTTTACTTCACCGATTTTTTTCTTCT